ATGACCAATATTTATCAATTAAGTTTCAGTAGGGGGGGGGGGTGGTGGAAAAAAAACTAAAGGAATTAAGTTTTTTATCTGACATCGATCTTTTGACGTCGTCCCTAAAATTGGTCATTATAGACAGGTGGTCTTTATATAGAGGTGGTCACACACAAGTTATTATGTGATACATACATACATACTGCATGTGGTGAGTCCCAATCAAGTGCATATGAGTTGTGTATGGCATAAAAAAAATTGTTCACGTCTTGCCCAGGATTCAATGCATGTAATTACCATAGGTGTCAGGGACGAAGAATTTAGGGTCAATTCAGTCACTAGCAGCATAAATCAATATACAGGTAGTTTGAATTTGGATACATGTATATTGTATAAACTTAGGTAAATGACAATTATGTCTATCATATGGCCAAATTAAATCATATTTTAATGATTCAATATACAATAAATGCAATTGTTTTTTTATGTGCACTTATATTAGAGATTTGCTTCTAATAGAGCTAATACAGTAGCTATACTATGTAACTTATTTGCTATTAGGTACATTATGAAAGAGTTTCAAAAATCAAAATGAGATATACCAGTATTTTAAGTTTTCGTTGTTCAACTAATACGATTTTTGCTTTATGTGTTTCTATTGGAGATGCACGTCTAAGTGAAATAAGGTATATATTTGCTGGGAGTAATTTGGTAATTTACATCTGAAAACATAAAAAACAGTTATAAACATCATATTCTCAGTTTATGTCAATGGTTGATCTTCGCCCACTTACACAAAAGGTATATACTTGCAGATTGTATGGTATGTTACTTGGAATATTTAAACAATTGTGTGATTTTGCTTCACTCATTGAAATAGCTTTGACCATACTGTAATGTATGCAGTCAAACCTGCTTAATATTAAATGTCACCTCATCCTCCATATATTTCATATAAACAACCTAACAATTATAATTGCACTGCTCATGTTAAGAAGGGCGAGGTATAGGGGGGATTTTTGTCTATTTTTATCTTCTTTACTTAAATGACTTAGTTAATGTATAATCTTGTTCATATTATGTCTGATAGGTGTCGTTGAAGTCACAGTTGATGATTCTCATGAGGGTACTAATCTGATAGCATATCCCACTAAGAACTTCAAACAGTTTGTATGCCACTCACCTGGATCTGGGGGTGAAGGGGCAGAGTCTAGTGAAGACAGTGATAATGTGGAAAGTATTAAAAAGGGTAGATCAAAAAGAAGGGATGAACTAAGTAAAAAAAACAGAAATAGGTAGGTTTTCACTATGTCCATTATAATAGTTTTACATATTTTTCTATTGTTAATTTAGGAAATTATGTCAGTTGTATTCTGGGATATCAGCATCATCAAGTCAATCTCCATCACTTACTCAATGTGTAACTATGGCAATACATAGTTATTTAGGAAAGAGCAGATGGATGCATTTTTCAACATTGTTTGCTCAAAGGGTTTTAGACAGGTATTCTTGGTAAAATTTTCACAAAATCGCAAAAATTACAACAAATTACATCCTTCAAATATATTGTCTATATATTTGTTTGAAAAAAGAAATATAAAAGTAAAGAACACTTTTAAAATTAAAAAAACCCTATATATGAAATGTTTGCTAGTACATGTTTCTATTTTGAATTTTTTTTTTTTTTACAGAGTACATTTAAAGCACACTGATTTTGAAGCCGACCACCGGTGTGATAACTACTATGACAAGCATACTGACAAGTCTAGCAGAACCGTCGGGCACAACACATGGAGTTTGGGTGTTCACAAGAGAGAAATTGCAAAAATGCGAAAAAACAAAAAACACAAGTTTTACAGTATCCTTTTTGCTATGTACGAAAATAGTTTTTTTGCTTGTTGAAGGTTTACTAGTACAGCAAAAATACATATTTTAGATTTGTGTTGCACTGAATTACCATGTTTTTGAAATGTACATACAAGATGGAAAAACATTCCTCTGAAAAAAAGGTCAACTCTTGTGCCCTGTGCGAAAAATTAATAGATACAACGCTGCATACATTTGTAGAATTAGAAATCTGATTTTACCACCCTCAAAGCAAACACAGTTGGTTCTGGGCAGTTTTACCATCAAGGTTGTTATTATGACCATAGTTTGCAAATTACTGCATCTTAGTTTCAGATATTCAGGAGCAATTATTTCAGAATTATAATTATAAAATAATATTGTTAATTTCAGTGACAGTTTTAAAATTAAATAGGATTAAAGCAAACTGAACTACTGCTTGGTTTCGTTCTATGATTTTTCTTACAAAATAAGTGTTGTTCAGTATGTGTAATGTTTGTTATATTTTCACTTAACTTCTGTAATCAGAATTTATTTTATTAGAAAATGTGGCATCCAAATTTGTGTACCCGTGTGTTTTAGATTTAAAAATGGGCACGCGAGTTCATGGTGATGATGTTTCGGAGGAGAAACGAGAAAGACATATGGCGAAATGTGCAGCGACGACATCGAGTACTTTAGGAGTGCGTCTCTGTGGCATGCAGGTAGGTAATAAAAATGCACCAAATCAAACGTATTTCTTTTTCTATGACACATCGCCTTCGGTTGCTGTTGTTTACCAGTTATTTCTGTTATCCATAGAGGTTTGCAGCAGGCCATGCATTAACTTGAGTATAATGAACAGTTTTAGATATCATTGCTAAGACTTGCGAGTCAAATACTATGATAAAGATCATCTTCTACAGAGCATTGTAGGTAAAAGAAAGTCTGAGGGGTTTCCCCATGCCTGATTGGTAGGGCCAATTAATGACAGGCTATGTCATAGTGTTTATTATATCTCATTTGTTTGATGTGTGTTTCTTGTGTACAGGTCTACCAGGTTGACACTGGAAGATATCATTGTCGAAATAAATATTATGGACGAGGTCTCACTGTTGATGGAGTAAAAAAATGTTTTTACGAGTTCTTGCACAATGGTGAGCGACTTCGAGTGGAGCTGATCTCAGCTATCATAAACAGACTCCTGGAGATGAAAATGATGTTAGAGAAAAAACATTCATATAGATTTTACAGCAGTTCTCTGTTAGTCATCTACAAGGGAGAAGAAACCACATCAGAACCGCAGATGGCATCGGTAGGTGCGAGATGCAGAAAAGACTGTGAACCTAATCTTGATGTTCGGATGATAGACTTTGCACACTCCACTCACAAAGGGTTTCGAGGGGACCATACTGTACATTCCGGACCAGATACTAGCTACTTGTATGGACTAAGTAACCTTATCCGGTTATTGATGGAGATCCAGGAAGAGCAAGAGTAAATGGACCCAATCCTCTTTAGTACGAGCGAAAGTACTATACATATCACTTTAAATGATATGAGTGATAATTTAAATCAGTACAATCACAATATTATATAATATGGTTTATATTCCCCCAAAACACTAATAGGCATTATTAATGTGTTATAACAGGAATTCAGTTCAATCAAAACAAGTTTTGAGTCTTGCTACATTTTATTCCAGTTCTCATAATTGACATCGCTGATAACTCGGCACACCTGTCTATGTTGAATTTAAATGACCAAAGTAGTTTGTAGTCACAACAGAGATAGCCTGAAATCCAAATTCCACTTGACAGACTTGGTGTTGATGTGACAACAGTAAATAATAGAGAAAGAATCCTGTTATTTTTTCCCCAGGACTTATTGTAATCGAAACAGATCGGATAATCTTTGGGTTTTTAATCACAAAGTGGTGGCACTTTGATGGCAATATTTCATAGTTACTTAAACAGTGGGTTATTTGTATGTCTGGCTTTGTAAAGTGGAGTTTCCATCCCACTTGTGTGAAAAACATTCTCTGTTTATAGAGTAACCATACTATTAAAATGGAGGAGTCGTCACTTGTGCGTGTGCGGGAATTGAGTCCCAAGCAACGTCAACGCATGCTAAAAACACAAAGGCTCATCAGTAGACGCTTGTTTGTAAACGAAGACACATAATAATCGTTTACCACATACGCAGGTGACGACTCTGCAGCTTTAAGATTACTGTATTTCGTTTATGTTCTTTCCTTCTTGTTGGCTACTGTGTTTTGAAACTGCATGCAATATATTAGTTGTAAATTTTTGAACCTGTAAACAATTTGTTTTGTCAAACTAAACATCTATTGTACTACCAGAATTAGCAAAATTACTCAGCTTGTCATGTTCATAATTTCTATTCTGCCCAGTTGCATTTACCTGCAAGTTGAATCAGGAGATTAGGTGAAAAGGATGTGGTGTGACGACCACCTTTTGAAATCAGAGACTGAAGTTTGTTTATATATATATATTTCTTTACTTGTTTTTTTTGTTGAAATCACCTCACACATTAACTTGACCAGGGTGACACCTGATACGTTTACTTGTACGTGTTGCTGAATTATGTACCTTGTGTAGTACATATCTTTCCATAAACTTGGAGGTTTCAAGATATATTTACTCAGATATGTATTGCATATTTTCAAATGTTAGAACTATGTTTCACTGAATTGTACAAATCTTTCTCTTCAAATGACCTTTCATACGATGGGGAAATATCTTACATTTTAAAAATGTCTACATGTTTGAATTCTCAAACATTTTAAATGACCATAGTTGCCTAGTTTTTTTTTTAATGTTTAATTATTTATTCTAAGTTTGATTGAAACTTTGATAAGTGGTGTTACTTGGTGATTCAAGATACTTGTATAAGAATGTTTCTCTCTGTGCAGCTCTGCTGTAACTAGTACTAGAAATGAACGTAGATAGCAATCTAAATTGTACTATCACTGAGTTGTTATAATAGTCTTGGGTTGTATTACTGTTGTCAAGTGTGCTATCAATGTTGACTGCCTATTACCGTAGCAGCAATTTTACACATGGACATGTGTACTAAAACAAGTGCCTGGCATACTAAACCAATATGCCACTCATTCACACCAGGTCGGCCATTCATTGACATTTCATTTCGGCTGATCTTCACCTATTCCTTTTTGAATCATTTATTTTGCGACCAGAATTTTAAAAGAATTTGTAATGCTTCTCGCCTAAATTGAGCTGTCTTCAGGTTTATATGGATTTGCCAGTATTGTATTTTGTCTTATTTATCAAACTTGCTTTTTTTCATTCAAATGCAAACATTCCTCAAAATTGCAAGCCAAGTCTAACAATCAACACATTCAGAGAGTTTTATATGGCCTTTAAAATATTCATTTGATTTTGTTTTTGTTCTGAGCAGCAGGTTGTCTTTGCTTGTTATCATTATTTTTTTTTTCTATACTTCTAAACACAAAATGTGCAACTTTAAAATACATACTGCCATACATGTAGGTGTGAGTGAATGTGGCGGCTACATTTACTGCGGACACATACTGTTTCTGTATTTATAGGGGTCATTCCATTTAAATGAACACGGGGAGTTGTGCAAACTTAATTTTATTTTCATTGTGGAAGGGAAATACTCTATGTGCAATAACTGCTACATTCACATTTTATGTTTAACAATGTGAAAAAAGTATTATAATGTATGTACTGGTAATGAATAAAGTTTATTTAATCTGAGAAGTCTGTTACATATGTCACATGACTAGATGCTTTTTGTCCCAATAGGTCCACTTTCAGTTACTTGTTGACACAATGTTCTGTCTTTCCCATTCAGTCAATAGACTGTGGTACTGTGACTCTGCTTCTGGCATCTGGCAAGCCTGTTTATAATATGAGGTTATTACGAGAATACCTCAAAGTATGCACGAAGACATTACAGCTTGAGTATCGGTCGATGCGCAGTGTACTGTCTGAGTGCATACTTTGAAGTACATTGTACCAGTATTAGTAATAACCTTATTATTATACATCTTTTCCTCCCAAGGATACATCATGGAAATGCCAAAATCCAAAAAGTTTAGAACAGAATCGGCGAACCTCTTTGTGTGTAGTCTGGTCAAATAATGGCAGCAATGTTTGTTTTTCATATTTGTATTTTGCATTCCCTTAGGGATGACGTCAAAAGATCGATGTCGGATAAAAAACTTATTTGCTTTAGTTTGGGGGTGGGGGGTTTTGACCTCAAAAAGTTTCTATCCTACAAAAACGATTTTATTTTTAATGAAGTCAAACATTTTTTGGAGTATTTGTAATTCGTTGTTTTTTTCTATCCAATCATGGACAAAAATAACAGAAAATGAAAAAAACGCATTCAAGACGAGAAAATGGTTTGGTCCGAGTGTAAAGTCTTATTACCCCCCCCCCCCCCCGACAATCAACTGCTATGCCATACTACTGTCAGATTATCAATTTGTATTTAATGGTGAATGTGGTCTGACGCCATGGTCAATATTTATCGATTAAGTTTCAGTGGGGGGTTGGGAAAAACTAAAGGAATTAAGTTTGTTATCCCTTATATGGTAGGATGAAAATGCTCGTAAAATACCGCAAAATTACGGCATGTTGTAACTTATGGTGTTACGATGACAGATGTATAATAATAATAAATAAGGATGATTTAACAAACAGGAACCGGAAATTGTCTATCATTCAGCTAATTGCCTCGATTTAGCAACATTGTCAGCCACTACATGAATGGTTTAAACAGAGACAGTACTGTATTCAGCAAAATGGTTGGGGATGTTGTGAACCAGTGTGGCAATTGTCAGATATTCAGAACAGTTGCACTACAGTAATTTCTCAGATCTTTGCCCTGCCTGCTAACTAGTGTAGTACAATTGTCATTGCCACCAATTATTCTATAGGTTTGGGTTTATTTTGTCAGTTAAAAATCCTGTCTGGATATAGAAGTATTCAGTGGTGATAAACAAGACTGGTGACCTTTGGCTCTTTTATATTAAAGTTTTATTGTATGTCCATCATGAAAACATGGTCACAGAATTACTTTTCATCATGTACAAAAATGAAACCTTTAACATTGGTTCATTGGTCGATGACATTTAGTGAAAAAATAAGATGGGTAATTTGTTAGAGGTTTCTCACAAGTTTTTTTTTTGACATTTTGTAACATGATTTCCTCTAAAACCATAACTTTTACTGGTACATGATCGAAAATCTATGGCAAATATAAAAATCTATAAGTTGTCATAAAATACGCATGAACGACCTTAACACCGTTTTCCACAAAGAAATCACAAATGGTAGTCAAACTGACACGTGACGTTATGCCAGGCATGTGCATCTTACTTGTATAGTGAACAAACTATACTGAACTATAATCATGTTTGTGATCGTGTTTTACAAGACACAAAATATTATTACATATTTTGTCAATAAGTCCAAATAAAAGTAATTCTCGTATTCTCATACTATAAATGGTCTAGACTCTCCAAACAGCGCGAAACACAACACACGTTAGGAACGCAAGCATCTCGCACCATTTCTCCAAGTTAAACAAAATACCTCTCATCTTTAGATTGATTTATAACCACTCTAGAAATGTTTAGAGGGCATACTCTGTAAATTTTGATAATTCCCTCTCTGGGCTTTGTTTGCTGACCTAAATAATACCACGGAGCTCTTCACCTAATTCACCTTGTCACAAATGAACGCAAATGAAAGCTGCGTGATGCTTGTTTTTTTGTTGTAAACACATTTCACACCTCAAAACTTGCTAAATGATACGCATGACCTGTGCGTTCTTGTTTGTTCCAACTCATGGAAGGTGAATTATCGCCAAGCAACAAGTGATTCTTCTGTAAACTTTTTTTTTCGGAACTTCTAAACTCGTTTCGTCTCTAGGTGGCGCTGTTCGTGAAAATGAAAATTTGTTTTATTCAATTCTCGGGTCTGTTTCAACCTAACGATAAAGTTATTGGAATAATGTTTTTATGCTGCTGCTCATGGTTTCACGAGCAATAGCTATGACATTGTGTCCACCGATTCATTAATAAACGGTATGATACTAGCTGAAATCAATTTTAAATTTGACATAATTTTAACCAAGCAATTGTATTTTTTATGTTGTGGGCTATTTACTAGGTCTAAATATGATCATCATGAAACAGATCAAAATCATTTTTCCTTTGTCAACATTGACATTGGAGATTATGTCTGACGCATCAACTCAATTCAACACACCGGTGACTTAATAGTGAGTGATAAAGCGCCCTCAATGGTTATATGTGACGTTTGTTTTTATTGCACAGGCTTGTATGCGCCGCAATGTACAAGGAAGTACGAGTTTTTCAAGTCGGTGAATTTTTTTTCCACTCCGACACGAAAACAACAACACCAGTCTGTAAATTATATATTTGGTTAATAACAAAATTGGTACACATGTCAATCGTTACAT